CTCGAACTGGCACCCATATGGGTTGCTGGCACTGCAAGCAGCGGCTTTACCTGCTACACCACAGCACTGGCCTCCTGTGCGTTTTTTAAAATTTTCATAAACATAGTTCTGGTTCTTCTCTAAAATTACAATAAAAATATCTAACAGCTAAAAAAGTCCATGTCTTCCCTTTATTTGCTAAATCAACCAATTCCAAGTTACTGAAATGTAGTAAACAAAGTTTAAAACTTTTTCTATACTTGTAAAAAAATTCATTTCACCTTTCTATGTTTTAAAATTTTACCAATAAAATTTTAAAATTACATTTTGTTCATATGTTGGTATTGGACAGTACTGATTGATGATTTTTATGACAGGCTTAAAAGTTTGAACCTCATTGATATTTAGATATCACTGCAGCCAACCACTACAGAGTATATTATTTTCTCCTGTTCATGGAACAGTACCAAAATGGGAAATATTCTGGGCCCAAAAGTCATTCTCAATATATTTCAAAGTCTACAGTTATATAAAGATTTTCACTGATCACAGTTGAATTAAGCTAGAGCATTTTAGAGTATAGATGGAAAATCTTTACATGCTTGGCCATGAACTAATAGACATATCAGCAACCCATTGGTCAAAGAAGAAATCACAAGGCAAATTAGAAAATATTTAATTGAATAAAAAATATGTCATTAAAAACTATGGAATTTAGCCAAAGCAGTCCTTAAAGGAGATTTATGGCTTTAAATGCATTATATTACAAAAGTCAAACGTTAAAATTAGTAATATAAACCTCTCCCTCAGGAAGCTGGGAAAATAACCAAATCTAATTCAAAGAAATACAAGTGGAGATAAGAGACATAGTGAAAGTTAAAAGTAGATCAATAAAAGATACAGTCAACAAAACCAAAAATTGGTTTACAAAAAGGTTAATAAACCTTTATTCAAAACCTTTATTCAAAGTGATTTCTTAGATTAAACAAGTGATATTAGCAGTAGTAAAAGAGGGCAACCCTACAGATCCAATATACATTAAAACTTTAAGAGGTGGTTTTAAAAAATTTGCCAAGTCATGTGGATACAATGAAAGATTTCTTGAAAATCTCAAGCAAACTGACATAAGAAGAAATAGAAAAATTTCAAGCATTATATCTGTTAAAGAAATTAAGCCTGTAATTAAAAACTTTCCACAAAGAAATTACAGGGTCACATATCTTTGCTGATAAGTTTTTACAAGAATTCATAAAAAGAAGTACTATTTTTTAATATACAGACTCTTCTAGAGAAAGAACAACTTATTTTCTAATTTGTTTAACCCAATACAATAAAATTGAAATGTGAAGTTGCATTAAAAATTAAAAATTTCTGGGGCCGATGCTGTGGCAGGTAAAGCCACCGCCTGCAGTGCTGGCATGCCACGTAGGCGCTGGTTTGGGTCCCGGCTGCTCCCCTTCCAAACCAGCTCTCTGCTATGGCCTGGGAAAGCAGAAGATGGCCCAAGTCTTTGGGCCCCTGCACTCACATGGGAGACCTGGAAGAAGCTCCTGGTTCCTGGCTTTGGATTGGTGCAGCCCCGGCTGTTGTGGCCAATTGGGGAGTGAACCAGAGGATGGAAGACCTCTTTCTCTCCCTCTGCCTCTGCCTCTCTCTAACTCTGTCTTTCAAATAAATCTTTTTTTTTTTTTTAAATGGCCACTTAAATATAACTTCAGGAAAGTGCAAAGGCAAGTTGCAGACTGGGAGAAAATATTTGTGATAAATCCTCCTGAGAGAAGATGCATATCCATATTATAAAGGATTCTCACACAACAATAAGAAAAATATAGACAATCTAATAAAAAGCTAAAAAAAAAAAATAAAAAGCTTGACAGTTCACCAAAGAAGATATCCAAATGGTGGGTAAGCATATGAGAAACTGATAACAGTTACTCACCAAGGAAATAAAAGTAAAACCACAATATTACAGTACTGCTTCAAATTAAAGAAAGGAAAACATCAATTTTGGTGAAAGTGTTGGAATTCAAACTCTTGTGTACTACTGGGAGGGGTGTAAATTTTCATCACCGTTTTCAAAAACTGTTGGTATTTGTTTACAGGTCAGCCAAGCCATATTTTCAGGTTAATCTGAAGAAGCGTTCACAAAAAAATTGGATTATGTCTGTCCTCCAACCAGAAATAAAGATAGTAACCAGGCCTGATTTTAGAGATTTGAAGGAGTGAAAAATGCTAACCATTTGATTTTATTTCCAGTCCCTGTCATTTACATTAGCAATTCCACTGTGACTTTATTTTTTATATATATTTTTACATATTTTTTTATATATTTGTATCTCTCCCTCTCCTCAATATAATGTTCTCTAAGTTCAGGTCACTTTTATGATTAAGTGACCCTGTATGGCACAGCTCTTCTTCTCTAGCGCCCCTTCCAATTATGGCTTCCCTGGGGTACAGAAGAAATCTTCCAACACGTCCTTCCCACTCTATTTCATCATCTCCTTCATGCAATAGCTTCCTGCAGCATTCACCAAAGTGCTAGGCTAGCTTGCATTCTCCACCTGCTTCCCCAACCCAAGAACTCATAGCTCAAAAACTCAGAGCAATAGAGTATAAAGGCAGTGAGACCACCTGTGAGACGCTGACAGTACTGCTTACTGGACGGAATTATGTGAGTAAAATTGGATAGGAATATGTGTGGGCCGGCGCCATGGCTCACTAGGCTAATCCTCTGCCTGCGGCGCTGGCACTCCAGGTTCTAGTCCTGGTTGCTCCTCTTCCAGTCCAGCTCTCTGCTGTGGCCAGGAAGGCAGTGGAGGATGGCTCAAGTGCTTGGGCCCTGCACCCGCATGGGAGAACAGGAGGAAGCACCTGGCTCCTGGCTTCAGATCTGCACAGCGCGCTGGCCGTAGCAGCCATTTGGGGGTGAACCAATGGAAGGAAGACCTTTCTCTGTGTCTATCTCACTGTCTAACTCTGCCTGTCAAAAAAAAATGTAAATTGTCCAACCTATTTGATACTTGGTTCCCTCAGTTTTGAAATAGCCTTTCTTTCTATAGTTACTGTGAATGATAGACTCAGATGAATACTTGACAGGCAGCAATGCTCAATACAATCTAGCTGTTGCTAACTGTTAGCTGTTGCTAACTGACATTGTGATGCACACTTGGTGATCAGAGATTAAAGCTGACTTAGATGTACTAAGGAGATCCAAGATCTGCACTACAAGGTTTCTGCAGACCAAGGCTCATGGACTACTATGGATGCTGTGTGGCACAAATAACCAACCTCCAGATTAAAAATAAGGTAACAATCATAGCCTGCCTTTAATAATGACTCAGATTTTCCAGATGGTACCTTGAAAATGTTCCTTGGCAGGTCCTTCTGGGACCATGCATGTAATGTCTATTACAACTATCTTAAGCTGATCAAACAACAGACATTAGGAAATAGGATGATACTGTGTTTCCTAATGAAAGGGGACCTCTTGTTCTTCCCCTATTTGTGATCCACTGTATAACCTATGTTCCAAAAATGTACTTACCGTCTGTGTACCACAAAAATGTACTTACTGGGTGTTCATCATGTTAGGCAAACTTATGCAGCTTCTCTGTCTTGATTTCCTCACTGGTAAAATTGTGATTATGGGGCCCTACCTCATTTGATTGAGGTGAGAATTCTTAGCATAAATCAAGCCCTCACTGAAGCTATCTACCATCACCACTGGTGTTAGCGCTATCACCCCATCTTATGGTGGTAACTAACATCTCATCTGCAATGTTTTCTCTGTTAGCTCAATTTTCTGCTCTTCTCTGTGTACCCAGCGTCTTACCCCAAAGACTGCATAACCTGCATTCCCCAGTCCTCTATCTTCTGGTTTGGTGTGGCAATGGGAGCTGGCAGCAGCAGAACAGGGCATGATGGGAGGAAAAATGATTGAAGGTATTTCTTCTCCACGTGTTCTGTGATCCTCCACGTGGGTCTAGGAAGTGGCTTCTTCTCAATCCATATGGCTCCATACCACTTACAAGTCTTCTGTTTGGGGCATTCTGGCTCTCTTTGTAATCTAGGGATGTATGTCCTCTACTTCCCCTTTCAACAGAATGTTAGGAATGGTTTCCTGATGTTGTTGATGTCTAGGGGTCCTTGGCATCATCAGTTAGTTTCTCTAACCCTGCTCATATTGCTTTACGTAGGCATTAAATAAACAAATACATGCTTGTTGGTTAAGTCTTTCTGGGAGAAACTTCTAAGATCTTTAAAATGCAGGTTGAATTTAGATGTATCCCCCTCACTTCTCCCTCCTGGTCCAGCCAAGAGTTCATGGCAAATGGACCATAATCAATCAGTTGTATACTTTACACTGTATTTGGAAACCACCATTCCTTTTGAATCGGCGTCTATGTGCCGTGATTCAGCCTGTGTGTCTGAACACTCCTCTGAAGATCAGTCTCCTTGAGCTCATGGTTCTTGGCCTACAGGCCAAGCATGCACTACTTTTTAATTTATTTTTTGTACAAAGCTTCCTTTGGATGGACCAATTAGAAAAAAGTCACTGCCTTTCTAGACTGACCAGAAGCAGCATATCCTCTGGGCTGACCAGTTAAAAAAGGGCACTGCCTCTGGCGTACCAATGAGGAAAAGGAAGCCAACTTAGGTGAACCAATTAGACAAAGATGTCTTTTCCTGAAATGCCTACAATGGCCAGGGCTAGGCCAGTCCAAAGCCAGGAGCTTAGAACTCCATCAGCGTTTGTCAAGTGGGTAGTAGGGATTAAACTACTTGCTACATTATCTGTTGTCTCCCAGGAAGCTGAATCAGAAGTATGATGTTCAGGACTCGAATCAGTCCTTCAGTATGAAATGTAGGTGTTGACAGTGAAGGTTTGACTCACTGTGCTATAATTCCCACCATACACTTTTATTTTAAAAGATCAAATGATAAAATATTCTAATTTACATTAGAAGAAGAAAAAATATATTGATTAAGGAAGAGTAATTAATATTGAAGTTAAAATATGGTTTTTGTGTACTTTTATTCCAATTTTATTCAAATTGTAAATTCCTTAAATGCCAACTAAAACATTGGTCTGGATATGTTTGATTAATTACTTATGTATCATTTTTTATTGTATTTAAAAATTCAAGTGAAGCTAATGCTAAGCAGTAGTTATGTTGAGCCATTACCCTGTGTGTATGTATTCTAATATTTATTTCAGTCAGAAATGTAATAAAATGAAAGTGCATTATTGTCCAGATGCCAATAATGCATTAAACCAAATCAATGTTCAAATACAACATTTTAAACATTTTTCATGCCTTCATAGACAGCAATTCAATCGCAGGCACTTAAGTCTACAATATTGTAAATGTTCATCAGGATGTCGTTGATGTGAAACAGGATTTTTTTATGATAATGTCATGTTCAGAATCTAAATTCATGTGGAATTGAAATATTCAGGATATGGATAATTAAACATGTATACATCTGAGATTATTAGGGTGCTAGGTGAATCAAGTTAACCTTAATGTGTGCCTCTGGAAACTTACTATCCAGTAGACTTTCACTTTTTTGGACTATAAGCTTTCTTTGAGTCAGCATTTTTCTTCACTTAATTTGTAACCTAAATGTTAGAATATATGTTGAAATTTATAGCTTGATTTTGATAAATTGTTTCATGAATGACACATTTTAACTTTATGATAGGAAATTTTGATTTATAAGTCAAATAATTCTATGTATTTTCTTATGTGAGCTGAATTTTATAAACTCCTTTGTGGAATGAATATAAAAAATAAGTCCAACTAAGTCATTTTTCATTCAATTTAAACTGAACCGTGCTACATAATTTTCTTCTATTAATGGAAGCCAGTGCTGGGGTTCCCAGCAAACATTACAGAAGGAGATTGTGTCTGTTTTCATGTGTAAATTACGTGTGGAAAAACGTGGATAATGGATTGAAGATCTCACTATCATACCAGAAGTTCAGTTATTAAGTAAACCACCCCAGATTCAAAAGCAAATTCTTTATCAACAAGGTACTAGGTACCTGTAATAATGAATCTAGACAGAGAAAGCCATGTGTGTCTATCTTGGATCACTACGGCAAACTGAAGACATTTGATATTTTTCAGTTCCAAAGTGTCTTAATGTAGGATTCGGGACTTTGAGTTGTTGGAAAGGCTGGGCAGGGGCAGTCAGGGAAACTCAGACAAGATCTCAGCCTGAAATACCCAGATTCGATGATGCTGGGAAGCAGCTGGATTCTCAGGAATCTCAGTCTGCAGGTGTAGGATCATGGTTTTTAGGGATGTGCCAAGAATCCACCATGAACGTCACCTTGACTACCGGCTGCCTTCAGAGAACAATGACTTGCCCTTCTTTTCTGCCATTGAAAGCTCTTCTGTCTGTCAATGGCGAGAGCCAACCTATAACCATATAGAAAGGGTGATCTGGGAAATTGATTCCTGGCCTCTTAGGTAGGTACTTGGACCTGAGCAGGGTGGTGCTGGGTTGAGCGCAGAGGATTCATCATGCAAAGAGATGTTCCTTTTCTATTTGGGCATATATACCATCATGTTATTCATATTCCCCAGTTATTGAGTTTTTTTAAATGATTTTTAAATTTTACTTGAGAGTTAGAGTTACAGAAAGAGAGAGAGAGAAAAAAAGGTCTTCCATCTGCTGGTTCACTCTCCAATTGGCAGCAATGGCTAGATCTGAGCCAATCAAAAGCCAGGAGCCAGGGGTTTCTTCAAGGTCTACCACACAGGCGCAGGGGTCCAAGCACTTGGGCTGTCTTATGCTGTTTTCCCAGACCATAGCAGAGATCTGTATCCAAAGAGGAGCATTTGTGACACCAACTGGTACCCATGTGAGGTGCCGGCAACACAGGTGGAGGCTTAGCCTATTATGCCACAGCACCGGCCCTAAGATTGTATAAACTATTGTCCAGTGTAAATAATATTCTAAGTTTTGGAACATAGAAATTTCTCTCCAAATTGAAAAACTTCAGAGGAAGTCTAAACTTACTTACTCAAAAGTTGTCCTATTCAATAGGTATAGAAATGAAGGAACCAGATTCTCTGTACAGAAAATGTAGACTTCCCTTTCAGAATACTTCGTTTTATGTAACAATGATTTTGAACTGGACCATACTTCCTATAAAAAGGAATAGCAAAAATTGGGGTTAATGGGGAGAAAGTACAGTGTAGTTTGAAATAGTCTCTAAAAAATTACCATTCCTGAAGTGGGAATTTTGCCCAAGAATTAAGGTTGTATTTGGGATTTGTAGTGCCTATCTGCCTCAAGGGGGGGGCAACTTTTCTCTTGCTGGGGGTGTACATGGACCTGGGCCACCCTTTTTTTGGTCAATCCTTTATGTATGGGCTGAGAGAAAGTTCATGTCTGAGGAATGAAGCTGCATGGTGTGTGGCCAAGAGAAGCTCATATTTCTGAGGACTCAAGGGAATTCACTGCTTTTGCCTGTTTCTCTTGGCAAGTTCCTCACTGTTTTATCAACACACTCTCCAAACACAATAGGAACTAGAGTTTTTAATGTATTATTTCCTAATATTTAGGTGGTCTTAAAGGTGATAATCCTGCCTCTTCCCTTCTACTTCTGAGTCAAGATGCAATTTTAAAAAATGGCCACATACATTATAAAAATGGAAGTAAAACTATTCATTGTATTACTGATAAGATTTTTCAGAAGAAAATCTGACCTGTGAGCAAGAATTAGACTCCCTGAATGTTTCCCCCACATCTGGAGGTCACAGGGACACCCAGAGCTTGAATTGGGGAGCAGGCACACTTACCCCGCAGCCTGCCTTCCCCATTCACTCATGGTTTGGCTTGGCTCTCTCCAGAGGATGAAGATTCTATTGCATGTGGCTTATTTGGGAGGGATGATAGCAAAGGGGAAGGGATAGATACAAGGTATGGGAAAGAACCGACTGTGTAGTGGTCAGTCAAATGCCCCAGTGGGAGGCTGTATCTTAATTGCACAAGAAAACACTGGGGGTGGATGTAAAACACAACCTTCATCATTATCCCTCCCAAGGAGCAAGGGAACTGGAGTAGTTAATGATGGAGAAGTGGTCGCTTAGAGTGTGAATTCCCAGGCTTTCCTGTGAGTGCTCAGACGGAGGGGTCTCTTGTTTTTTGGAGGAAAAAAATTCCCTTGGGGCTCATTGATGGAGATGCTGGCAGCCAGAGGTTGATTAAAGGACACTGATACAGAGCATGAAAGGGAAATACATGTGCGAGGCACTGATGGTATTTAATATGCACCCTGTAAACGGTTCAGAGAAAGTTTAGTCTCCAGACCTGCTTTGAGAAGGGCAAGCATGAGGTCTGAGCCTGACCCAATACTTGTGCACAGAGGGGAGGAAGCAGAGGCCTCTGGAAAGCTCCCACAGCAGGCAGATCTCCAACATGGAGAAAGAAGGGGCTTGGCCACTTACGTCATTCCTCCTTCACTGAGGAGTTGGGAGGCGCAGAGAGGACCTTCCCGGACTGCAGAGGTTTTCTATGCTATGTAGTTCAATGTAAGAAAAACAGGGAGAGGAAGACAGGATATTAACAAGTAGTACAGGAATGTGAACTTTAGAATTATACTTGTACAAACAGCAAAAGGTTCAATTTATTTGAGAGATGAGACAGAACACTCTCATCTGGTGTTTCACTTCCCTAATGCCTGGGAATTAGGAACTCAATCCAGGTCTTACATTTGGGTAGGAGAGACCCAACAACTGAGCCATGCCATAGTCTCCAAGGATGTGGAAGAGCAGGAAGCTGGAATCAGAAGTGAAGCTAGAGTCAGAAGTGGAGCTGGGACTTGAACCCAGGTATTACAACATAAGATGCATGTGCCCCCAGTGACATTTTAATCACTATGCCCAATACCTGTACCAGCTTCAAGTTTTTGAAAGTGGTTTGCAAGGTAATATAGCTAGCTAGGACCTCAAATGATGGTACTTCAAAGTGTTTGTGGAAAGTTGGAATTGAAAGATAATGTGCATCTTCCATGGATGTTTTGTCTTCTTTTTCTATCTCTAGTTCCTTTATGACCAACTCTTCTGCTCCTTTCTCTTCTGCCTTTGTTCTCCTTTCATTGGCAAAAACTTTACTGTCATAAGCTCTAAACTACCAATCAGTAGGAACTAGGAAAACTGAGATTGGGACAGTGGAGTTTTTCCAGATACTGAGGGTAAGCCAGAGTACTTTATAGGACGCAGTAGTGATGAGAGAAACACTAAAGTGAATGGAGAGGAGAGTGGACAAGTGTAGACAAATGTAGATAAAGCCACAGGCTCTATGCTACTAATGTACTTTATCCTTTTTCCCACAATGTAGTGTTTTGTTACAGCAGTAGCAGGGAACTAAGGCTCAAACAAGACAGGTGTTTTCTTGTCACCTATCAGAGGCAGGAGGATAACCCAGCCTAAACAAATGGCTCTGTCCAAGGTCCTAGGTTTCTTCTCTTTGTCCTACATAGTTCTCAGTGTATGTTTCTGTCTAAGCTGCTCACATGATTAATTTCAAGCTCACATGAAGGATAAAAGAGAGCAGTTGGTGGAAAACAACTTCTTTTGAAGTGTGGCGGTAGCCAGCTGAAGGTGTCGCTTTTGCTTATGTCCCACTGATCAGTGTCTAGTCACATGATTATATAAAACCATAATGGGGTTGGGAATTATATTCTCCATATGAGTACCCACATGCCCTTCCAAAGCTGTGGTAGGAGTGGGCTTTTATGACTAAAAGAAAGAGTGAAAGGCAAGAGAATTGGAAATCACAAGGCATGCTATGATACTTTTTAAGGTTTTTGTTGACAACTCTCATGAAAATTCACATGTCTCATATTAAAAGTATATATTATTATGTCATGAAATTCTTGTAGTTACTTGTATTTTTAGATTTGTAAACTATGATATACTGAATGAAAGTATAATTTTTAAATGAACCTGATCATAATCAGGGTACTGGGTCTGTCCCATAATCAGTACTGGGTCCATTTTACATTACCCTTATGAAAATACAATCTTACAGTATTTTTTTAAACCTGTGCACTATATATTTTACTATATATTTTACTATATATTTTACTGTCAATTCTTACAGTTTTATTGAAGCTTTCCTTATTTTTATTGAAACAAAACTTAAATAATTGTGTAGGACTCAAGTCAGCAAAAATAAATATTTTTGGATTATCCCTGATCTGGAAGCCCCCAGAAACATAAGTTAGCTCTTGGACCACCTTTGTTATTATTGCATTACTGGTAACTTAGTTCAATTTCATGACTTGGTGTCCAATATGGAGTCTGAAGCAGCTACTTTCACAGAATAGATTCTCAGTTTTGGTTTAATGATGGAACCAGGCTACTCAGAGCACATCAGAAACTATGGGTTCTTTGAACCAGAAGTAACCTGAAGTGGTATTAGTCATCATTTCCAGGCAAAAATAAATGCTTTTATTGTTGTCTGTTTAATTGGAATAATAGTCAGTGTGACGTGAGTAAATAATGATGTATCAGTGAATATAGAAAAGAAACACAGAAATGTCAGAAATCCATACATTAAAAAGAAGACTTTTTCTTCTTTTAAATTGCTAAGAATATGAGATGTGACTAGCACAATGTTTGGCATAACACATTCTCACTGAAGAGGAGTCACAGTTAATTACCTTTTATATTGTTCCTTAGTTCACAGGGCAAACTAACAAGTCTCCCATGGATATGGAGCACAGGAAGCTAGCTTTTTGGTAGTCCTTCTTTAATAGGAAACAGACTGACCTTCACAGTGTAGAGCAGAGAGTAAAATTTGGAAATTCAAGAAGATCTAGTTTGAAAATTCTTTTAATACAAATTCAGCATGCACAAAGATCTATTAATCTCCCTATATTTTACTCTATCTGTGAAGTACCCCAGGGAAATCAGCAAGCTTTCATAGAAACTTAGAGCCTGGTGATTTTAGGAAACCTTGATGTAGAATTTAAAAGAAAAAGATTTACTTATTTGAAATCCAGAATGGCAGGGAAACAGGGAGAGGAGAGGGAGAGGGAAGCAGGGAAGGGTGGAAGAGAATGAGGGATCTTCTATCTGCTTGTTCAGTCTTCCAGTAGCCATAACAACCAGGTCTTGGCGAGGTCAAAGCCAGGAGCCTGGAATTCTATCCTGATTGTCCATGTGGATGGTAAGGGTTCAAGTGCTTGGGGCCATTTTCAGTTGCCTTCCCAGGCATATTAGCAGGAAGCTGGATTGGAAGCAGAGCAGCTAGAACTTGGACCCACACTGTTAAAGGGGAAGATGGCACTGTAAGCAGAAGCTTAAACTGCTGTGCCACAATAATGGTTCCTTGATGTGGAATACTTTTTACTCACCCATTTCTCTGGTACTTTCCCAGTGGTAATGCATTGGGATATTCTGGAACCCTCTAGAGGATACCAGAATGCTATAGAAACAGCATATGATATCTGTCCCTGATTGACATAAAAAATTATTTCCTAATTATTTGGCAATGAAATCCCATTTTTCCTCTCCCAAAAGAGAATGCTTCTCTGTTTTTGAAGTCTACTTCTCAATGTATGTCATCAGGCATTACATTCATGGGCTTTTAGCATTTCCTCTTACCAAATGTTTTTAGACTGCTGTTAGTCTTTAAGCTATATGTCACGATTCTTTGACAGAGAGGCCATCACTGTATAGCTTTCCAATTTCTGGACTTTAATAGAAGTACTTGTTTTAATTCTTACCTTGACTGATGTTTCCCAAAAGGCCGGGATATTCGATTTAAATTTAGGCATCCTGAAATGCCTCATAAGGATCAGAAAACTGAGTGGGAAAGATGTTTATTATATTTTTGCTTTTCGACACCTGGCATTAGAGTTCATTTTTTCTTTTTTTTTTTTTTTTTAAGATTTTATTTACTTATTTGAGAGGCAGAGAAAGGTCTTCAATCTGCTGGTTCATTCCCCAAATGGTTGTGACTGCCAGAGGTGGGCTAATCCAAGCCAGGAGCCAAGAGCTTCTTCCGGGTCCTCCACCGGGAGCAAGTTCCCAAACATGTAAGCCATCTACTGCTTTCACAGGCCATAGCAGAGAGCTGGATTGGAAGAGGATCAGCCAGGACTGGAACCTATATATATATGGGACGCAGGTGGAGGCTTAGCCCACCACACCACAAGGCCAGCCCCCAGGAGTTCATTTTCTTTGAAATCAGACACTCATCAGTCCTCATATACATAAATCTATATCTATTGTTTGTGTGATAGTTTGATATACCATACAGTAGAGGCATTTTTGATACTAGATGGAACTTCTAAAATGCATTTTTAAATTAAAGTTAAAATTATACCAATTATCCTATAAAGACAAATTGGCATAACTTTAATCCATTTATTTAAGAGTGAGTGGTCAGTTTTACATCACCAAGTTCCTCAGTTCACAAATATGGCAAAATGCTACTTTTTATTAACTTTGAGTAGTGAGTACACTGGAGTTGTATATTCTTTGTAATAGTTTGTAGTGCTTTGTACGTCGTCTTTTTTCCACAATAAAATAAAATAAACCAAGGGCTCTGACCTCAGTCTTTTGGTTTTCTGGCTGAGTGGGAAGCTGGGTAATAGCTTCCTGAAGACAGAAAGTTTGCCCATTTTGTTTGGTTAGATTGGTGAGGGTGCTATGCCTAGATGAGAAGTAAATGAGGGTGAACTTAGTGCTGGCCAGCTGTACATGGCTGCTGAATCCAGTGCATTAGGGCGTGATTTAAACAGGCTGCTTTCTGTACAAAAAATTATTCCAGGATAATGGGCAGTTTGTCTAGCAAAGACATACATTTTGTCACTGTGCATATGTCCCTACCCAGGAAAGTACAGTTTTCCTCCTCAGATTTTAGTGGCTGTCCTCTGAACAGGCTGTGTATGACATCCTTTTGGCTTACGCTGGTTTGTGTTTTTCAAGCAGCACCTTACGTGGGACTCAAACAATAATCACAGCAGCGTGAGCTTCCCTGGCGTTGGGGATGCTTTCTATGCTGCTTTTGAAAAAAGAAAAGAAAAGAAAAGGTGGCGCTAATTTTGTCTGTGTGGAGTGCATTAAACTCCTGTTTCTCTTTCTGCCCCCACCCCCACCCCATGCATTCTCTGAGGTCTACTCTTCCTAATTGTTCAATCTCCCTTTCAACAGAAGGCTCTTGGGGTGCCTGGGAGAGCCGGCCGCGGGGGCCCGGCTGGGGCAGGGCCAAGGAGGGAGAGGGTCCCGCTGGCGCTGGGGCTGGGGCCGGCCCGGGGGAGGCTCCCGGAGGGGCGCAGCACAGGGACTGCAGTGACACTGCCCTCCCCGGGCGGGTTGAGGCACCTCACTGGTGACGGGTCTGAGAGCACGTGGCTACGTCATGGAAAGCCAGTCTTTTCAATGCAAACTTCAACTCCTCCTCCTCCTCCCTCTAATGCCTGTAACTCACAGTCGAGGCTGGGCGAGGAATCCGGAGGGGAGGTTTTTCCTCATGCTCACGGCGGCAGCTGGAAGCTGGAAGAGTGAGAGGAAGCAGCGAGGGGGTTCGTGGCGCTCTGGACCTGCTACGAGACTGACGAGGGGAGGGGGCACCTAGAATCGCATCTTTTCTCCGTGGTGATTGGGAGCTGCAGGTTCAAATGCGATCCCACTGAGCGCTGGCGATCGATTATAAAAAAAAAAAATCGACCCTGGGAGAAGGGAGGCTGCCTTCGGCTGACAGACTCCATCCCGGAGGTGGTATTGGTGTGTGAGTGTGTGTGCTGGTTTTTTTTTTTTTTCTTCCTTTCTTTTCTTTTTTCCTTTTCTTTTTTTCTTTCCTTTGGTTTCCCTTTTGCCCCCTTTCTCTCCTAGGGCTACACAATGGCAGTCTTCTCTCAGTGAGCTGAATCCAGCCTTCCTCCTGCAGAGCCACCCAGCCCTGTAGCGACCAAGTACAAGGCTATGGTTTTCTCTTTGGGGACCTTTAGTGCATTCCTGTGCTCCCAGCTTAGTTCTGGTCTCAGTTGGGATTTCTTTGCTTTTTTTGTTGGGCTTCATGCTGAAAAAGGATTTTTTTCCAAGCCTTTGGTAAGAATCCAGTGGTGACCAAGGGGGGAATAAATCCTTCACCCTGGCCGAAAAAAAACAATCACTGAGAAGTCTCAAAGAAATAGACCACGTGAGGGGAAAAAACTGGGAGAAGATCCGGAATATTATCGTTTTTCCTATGGTAAAACCGGTGCCCCTCTTCAGGAGAACTGATTTCAAATTATTATTATGCAACCACAAGGATCTGTTCTTTCTCAGGGTGTCTAAGCTGCTGGATTGCTTTTCGCCCAAATCAATGTGGTTTCTTTGGAACATTTTCAGCAAAGGAACGCATATGCTGCAGTGTCTTTGTGGCAAGAGTCTTAAGAAAAACAAGACCCCAACTGGTAAGCAAAACGTGCATCGTGTTATTCTTATCATTATGGCTATGGTATTTTTCCTCGTAATAACCTGTCTGTTGCTCATGGAGCTAGATCTGCAGTTCTATGCAGGAAGGCAGGGGAACACACAAGCCAGCAGGACGGTGTTGAATCTAGAGGTGTTGCATGAATAAACAAGTAACAGCTGGATCCGCGGCTGCGAACCCCCAAACCGTTATCGGCATCTCTTGGCTGTGACACAATCCATCAGTAGGAGGGAGGAGGAAACTTTTTTTTTTTTTTTGTAATGTATTTGGGTTGCCTGTGCTTGGTGGACAATCAGAGGACCATGGCTTTAAGCTTCGGCAGTCGCCAGGAAAACGCACTCGTGCTGCAGGTTCTGGGGACACGGCTCGGCTCCAGACTTTCTGATGAGCTTGCACAATATCCGCCACCCCATCACCTTTGCCGAAGTCAAAGCGGCCCCCTCCCTGGCGGCCCTGCTCCTCCGTCAGCCCCCGCCTCCCGCCCCCGTCTGGCTCCCGGCGCCCGCCCGAGGATTAACTCATTCCCCCCGTCTGCCTCCCTCCACAGCCTGCCCCTGGGGGTGGCGGAGCCCGGCTCCCGCCTGCGGGCCACAGCCCGGCCCCTGTGCCGGGCGTGATTGAAATCTGCCCCTCTAGGAAGTGGTCCCACTGCAGGACAAACCCTGGGCCCGGGTCGGGTCCCGTCTTTGAGCTTCCGGAGGGTCAGGCACCCCGGGTGCCAGAGAGCTTCCACAGGGGCACTTCCAGCGCATTACATAAGAAAGGCAGATGCAGGCAATCGATCCTGGAATGTGGGACCCCAGGGGCTCACTTCTCAGAGTCTCAGTCTGAGGAGTTTGGGGAGGGGGCGAGCCACCCGGGCGAGGCCAGGCCGGAGGGCTGCGTGGTGGTGGCGGCGGCAGAGCGCAGCCTTTCCCAGAACCCCGCTAGCCGGCAGTCAGGGATGCCTGGTGTCCCCTGGCTCCATTCAGGGTGGGGAAGGGCTCCAGGACCCGGCGTTGGGGCGTCTTGGGCCGTGGTGGGAGGAGGGGCGGGGGTGGGGGGCGGGGGCCGGTCATCCCGCAGTGGCATCCCGCGTGCTGGAGGTCCCTGACGCCGGCACTGCGGTGCCGTAGATCACGGCTCTCGGCGGTCGCCCTGACACCCAGAGCTCCAGCTGGGCAGCAAGTGTCTGCCGCCTCCCAGCCTCGGGAGCTGCGAGGAGGGGGCTGCGGAGGAGGCTCCGGTGGGCGGGGTGGAGGCGGTGGGTGTGGAGGCTGAGCACCCTCGGCCGCCGCCAGGGATGCAGTCGAAGGGATCCCGTGGCGCGGTGCTGCGTGGTCCAGGCGGCCCCTGGCTGGGACGGTGCGGGGCTGTGTCAGGCTCTAGGGGTAGCCGCCGGCGGGCGGCCAGGCGGGCCCCGTGCCGCAGTGGACTCTGCCCCGGAATCCTCACCCCCGCGCTCTCGCCTGCGCTACACCCCTTCCAGCCAGCCCTGGCTGTCCCCTGTCCTTGTGCCTTCAGCAACTCTGAGATGACGCCGCCACCCCTCACAGGGGAGCAGCATGGTCCCCTAACCAGCCACACTTGGGATCCGGCGCGGGGTACCCCAGCAGTTCACCCAGCGCTTGCATCTCACAGCCTAGTGGGAAGACTCCCCGCAGCCGGACCAGGGGAGAGTGGCAGCTGGGCAGAAGGGCTGATGCTTCACTTGGTAAAAAGAGTGGCTTTGTCAAGCCCCCTAGTGTCTGGTGACAAGATCTAGCTCCCCTCTGAGAGAGGAATGAGGCCAACACCTTGTTTTCCCCTAGACTGTTAGTCTAGGCACCTGTCAGTCTTTCTATGGTGCTGGCCTGCCTGAAATCAGTGCTGAACAGTGAGTTTCTTTGCAGGGCTTTGTAATTATCTCGTAAACAATTTCACTGGAGATACGAGTTTCCCCCCAGTGTACAACCCACTGTCTTCACCTTACACCTCCCCTACCTACTTTCATCTTTTCTGGATGTAGTCATTGTGTTTTTTGTTTGTTTGTTTCTGAGGCATTTTGGAAGTTGCTCAAGAAATGACAGTTTATTTTTAGAGCAATTTATTTTGCAGTGCACGCCTGCTAAAGTACTTGCATCCCAAGAGATGGGTTAACACAAAGCTTGTCTAACAACATCATCAACTCTTAGAAGGGTTGAGTCTTAGGTCACCAGAGATGAGAGGTCCAACCCACAAGTTGGAACCTTGAAATTTTTAAAAGTGGGACACTAACGTCACACTGTCTCACTCCTCAAAGTTGATCCCAACCTGTGCCTAGCCATCCACTTTGAATGTTAAACTTGGTGACTTCTGTTCTCCCTCTGCTATTAACATGAAGTCTAAAATCATGGCCAGGTTTTTGATCCCAAGATAGCAGTGCAACTAAGAAGTTAATTGGGTAATTAAAATAAAACAAAGTCTGAAATCCTCTTAACTGTTAAAACCAAAAGAACAGACTGCCTACTACCTATTATGTTATCTTAAGTCTAAAAAGAGGACAATTAACTGGTTTCAAACTAAGAATGCTGAAAGAATACTGCCAAATACCAGTGAATCTGGTATAAAACACCTCTTATTATTTCAGAGGTAAATATTCATTTTTCTTCCCAATCTTTGTAAGTTAGGAAATGCTTTTCTGGTTATTTCCAAATCTTTAATTTGCCAACAAGTGTGGATACTCTTGCCAAAGGTTCCTGGGAAGGATATTGGAGCAGTGGCCATGTAATCTCGCTAGACTGAAAATAGGTAGGTGACAGGAGTTGTGAGTTTAAGGGCCGAGTTTTTCATCTATTCAAGCATTATTAATTAGCTACCTAATGCTTAGAGTGTTTTATAGTTGTTTTATGTAAAACGTAACTGAAAAAGAACATGTAGAATGTATTGGCAAAACATAATGCTTTCAAAAATCAATCACAATGACTTAAAAAGCTCTGGTATAAAGTAAATTGACATCTTCATAAGAAACACTGCATATGCTACGGTACAACTCTTACCAGAGAACACACACACATCAAATGTCCTACTTTCCTTACTTTCCTAGCAGGGCAATAGCTATGCATTTAGAATAAATGTTACCTGCTTCAGCTTGCACTGTATGAGTCATGCAAGGTGATTGTATTTTGGGCAAATCATTAAATGGGGAATGTTAAGTCCGAGGCACTTATTTTGCCTGGAGGAGGCCTGATAGGTTTTCTTTAACCCGGTATGATAGTTTGGACTGACCAATGTTTCTAACAGGCCAATTTGGGAAAAGATCTAGGTCACTGCTCTTTAAGCAAAGGGTGCTAAGAAAAGAAATGTCATTGAAAAAGTCCCCAATAAAGATACCCACTGAGGTCATGTCACAGCTAGTTGTTTAGACACATAACGTGAAACAAGCAAAGGCAGCCATGGACCATAAAATGTATACACCCACTCAACCACACACATGACACCCCTAAAGTCCCACGGCCTGCTAAAAAGCACAGGTTCTTGAAGTGAATTGTGAGGTAAGAGAATTGTTCTCAGTGTGTCAGTGGCAAGGAGGGTACGAGGCAGGTGCCCTGGCCCTAGTGCTGCAGAACACACTGAGCACAGCACACAGACTCCTGGCCGAGTGTCTCCTTCTCTGAACCCAGCCTCGCTGGCTGCCATGTAACTTTGTGAGGGAACAAGCAGAGCTCGGGATGCCCTGTTAGCACTTTGTCTCCTAGCTTGTTTGGGTGCCTCTCGGCTTGTTTTGCCTTTTACTAACTGGGCTGTTTTCAACCTTTTTTTTTTTTTTTTTTTTTTTAACTTCCTTTATATCGAGAGCTGCCATGGCGTTTGGAAGGGAAAAAATAGGGAGACAAGGAAGAAAAGGGAATAAGCACTTCTCACTCCTCCTTCTCAGCCTGCCGACTCATCCTGGGTTTCTGTAGAGCTGGGTGAGCCACACGTGGGCTACAGCCTCCGCATTTCTAAACACAGTATATATCACACGAAGATGTCAAATTCAGCCTGCATGGCTGCATCACCAAACAGGTGTAACGTTCCTCTCCTTCTAAAATGCTTGGCTTTCATGTGGGATTCAATGTAATATGAGTAGGCCTTGGACTCCATCCAGGAAGCTTCAGTTACAGAGGTAGCAAATTAGTTGTGCAGAGCAGTGGCACGCTGTGAACCAAGGAATGGCATTTTCAATAGACTTCCCGGTGTGTGTTGGGAGAGCCGTAGATTTTTCTTTTTGGAAACTTATATTCAAATTAACAAGTGTAAAATTCAACACATGATAATCTAAACTTAGTTTTAACAATGAATATTTCTTTGGCTGTAACCACATACAGCCTGTGCTCATCTTAGCATCTCTGAGAAAATTTGTTCAAATGATGCAGTGCTTTCAGAGGTGCTAAAGCTAATTCTGTGTATACTTCACATTTCCCAAAGTGAACGATTCCTTTAAAATGTTCGAACCCCATCTTCTATGTATTAACAACACAAACATTGGAGACTTTTGTGAAGTGTTTTATACATATGGTAACAAGAACAACAACCAATGTTTTCACTCCTTTGCACATTTTGGCACTCACTCAGCTTGACTCATAAGTTTTCTATAAATACCATGTAGATGTCTCAAAATGGAACCAATTATTCAAAATCATTTCCTATGCCTTAAGAGGAAAGGGTTGGAAATGTTCAAAAAGTATAGCAAAAGCGCCTCTACTAAGCCTTAAATGAGTCATTGCATTGTGCCTGCTTTTAATAAAGCTTTTGAGTTTGATTCAGTCTTACCTCCAGGAAGGACTGTGGATCAGGGAACTAGCTCAGTGCATATCAACCTGCCCAGTGCAGTGGCGCAGATTTGGTTCTGAAGGGGTTGAATCTGGGCACTGAAGGGCATGGAGTTCTCTGAGGGAGGCTTCTTAGTTCCTCCATCAAGATGCAATAGTGTACTTGCTATTCTGCTTTTGAAGAACCAGCTACCTGCTAGTGTTTGTCTTGTATCATTCTTCACATGCT